CCCCGCCTCACCCATTTACACATCTTTTCAGGCGCCCGTCAAGCCGCCGCGCGCCGCCTCTTCCTGGGACTACTCGCCGTTGCCCCTGGCCTTCAGCCCCAGCCTGGCGCTGGCCGAGGACGCGACCACCGCCGAGTGCGCCGAGCCAGTGGTGAGCCCCCGCGTGGGGTGCGTGTCCCTGCGCACGGCCACCCTTTGTCGCTCCTGTTCAGGCCCGCTACCGCGTCGTCGTCCCAGTTGCTGACTTGACCCTGCTGCATTCGCGCCACTTGAACCCCGTGCAGGTGGCCAGGAAGGCGCGGAAGGTCACCTGCACCGAGGGCCCCGCGTACAACACGCGCAGCATCAGCCGCCGCGGCAGCGCCATCGCCTACCGCACGCGCGCCCGCAGCATCTGGTGAGGGCCCCGGCTGGTGACCCCCGCTGACTACGCCCAGTACCATGAGGTAGGTGAGCAAGGTGAGTGGGCACGGTAAGTCCTACTTCCTTATCACTGTCCTACTTCCTTTCCACTTAATGCCATGCTAACGACCGCTCGCCCACTAAGTCAACTCCGCCCGTTGAAGCCGCGCCGCCAACGCCGCGCACACACGAGATAAGTGCTGTTTTGCAACCAATGCTCGAACCAAGGTGAGCGAGATGGTCGGGTGCGTCCTGGGCGCCGCGCGCGACTGCGGGGACGCCACCAGCTTCAGGTCTTGCTCAGTCGTATTGTTGCGGTCCGCGCTCATCCTGCGCCGCCTTTCCCCCACCCAACCAATAGGCGTGCTGACAACTGAACGCCTTCGGAGACAACTCTGCTCCCGCCTGAGTACTATCAAGCCTGCTCAACGTGAGGTGGTGCCAAAACCCTCCAGATGAGTGATGCTAGCTGGTCATGCGTGTGATGGGTTGGGTTGGGATCCGGGGGAGGCTCGCGGTCTGCGTTGGATTTCCACGGCTGAAATGGAGGGGTTAGTGCGATTGGGCTGCAGGGCTGGCGCCGCGCTGTTGCAATGTTGGTTGGTTTGACCCTCACCCTGCCGACGCCGCCCCTTACCCTGCCAGGTGTTCAAAAAAGCACGCCGCAGCCAGGGAGAAGCAGCACATTCAATCCAGGCCTTTGTTGGTGAGTAAGACCTTCAAGTACTCATTAGGGGTTTGTTGGCCTCATCATGTGCAACAGGCCACCTCCTGCAGCTCATGTGACGGAGGCGACACAATGGCACGGTTTGGCCACAGACCTAAAACAACTCATCTGCATCTATAGCTGTTGGCAGGGTTTAAACGTGGATCTCAATAACACACAAGTGTCATGCAAAAATTTGGCAAAGCTTGTGTCAGATTTGCATGTGCTGTCCAGGTTGGAGGGTTGCCTGTGATTTTCATGTGGTACCCATCTGGTGCACCCACCCCCCTCCCCTGGCCCCGCCAAACCCCAGCCTCTCAAGACAAGAGTACCTTGATGTCAAGGGCTACGATCCTCACGACTTGAGTAGAAAAGTGCGCATTGGGGCAGGCCAGCGCGTTTGGCAGGCTGGGTGTGCTAGGTCCCTGCCGCTGCTGCGAGCTGCTGCTGCTGTACCCACGCTCACTCCGCCCTGAACCCCACCCTACCAGGGGCGCGGCCTGGCACCGCCAAATCAAGGAGCACAATCAAGACCCAGATTTCAGCTGCTGGAAGACTGCCCATGCTCTCCATGAAAGTGCACGTTGTGGGCTGCTGGTCGTGCGGCGTTATCCTTTTGCTTCGCTCCACTGTGGTTTGCCTTGGTTACATTTCGCAATCTTGTACCTGCGCAGCCCTCTTTCTGATGCTTTGGGTAGTGCTTTGCAGCAGCGCCAGGATCTGTCTCACTGGTCAGATGTCATGATGTGGCCGGCTCTTCCCTAGCGTGCCCAGCTTTGAATACAATTGTGCAACGCATTTATGGTCCAAGCCACAACTTGCATCACCCATCCTTTCTGCCTGTCCGAGCTTTGCTCCTTGCGTGTTTTTGTGGCAGGCGCCTGTGCACCACTCAAATGCAGACGGGCCCTTTGCTGCTGTCGCTGCTGACCCACCATGAAGCCGCCAGCTCTCATGTCTCGGTATTGCATACTGCGTGCAAAGCCCTGACAAGCTTCTTCCTGCTTATATGCTGAACATGGCAATGTATATACATTGCCGCTATTTCTGTTCACGCTGCGAGTCTTGCATCACATCTCGTTCCCTGGTTGCCTCATGTGGTGTCACGTTGCAGAGCTCTGAACATTTTGTCAGTAATGTCATGCGGCTTGTAGTCACTGGAAATATCAGGATTGGTTTCAAACCACCGTACCATCCTTGCTTCGCGCCTGTGCAAGAACCCTCGTGGCCTCCCCCACATGCGTGCTTGCCTCGCATCCCCTGCCCCACACGCCCTCCACCCCCCGCCCCATTACACCAACCACACACCCGGATTTACATCGCGTGAGTCCCCGGCCCCCGGTTGTGCAACCCGAAAACTGTTTGTGCTAAGGACTTACGTAATTTACACTGCTGATGATCATTACATGATCACCGTACTACAGATGGCGCATGCTTGCATGCTCTCTGCTGGGCTTGAGGACCAGTTTGATGTGTGAGACAAATTGTTTGAACGACTGGGGTGGTTGTAGAACCACTGCAGTGCCAGCAGCGGCACGCAGAGAGGAGGGTAATCACGTGATGGTTGGCATCGCGCAAACAGCGTACGAGCCACAAGCGGGCATGATCATTCCTTATTCACAACTAAACATTGATCAACCTCGAGAGCATTGGAGGTATGGGGTTGGGCCACCCAAGAGTCAGCCCTTGAAATCACAAGCAATTGTAACCCCCCAAGAAACACTATGCAGTTTTGCACTAAACAATGAGGCGCCGGCGTGGCAGCCTCCCTAGTTCGGGACGAGGGTGTTGAGCTTCAAAGCAGTTCTTGTCTGATAGGCATCAAGCGAACTCCAAAGCCCTGCTTCTGGCAGCCCTAGCGGGAAAACAATCCTTGTTAGAAAGGCATCACGCCGACTCATCACGCCGACTCAAGAACCCTGCTCTTGGCAGCACTGGTGCGAGACCGGCCTGGATCGGCGGCCCAGCTGTGAGTACATGCGTAGCGCACAAGCGCCACAAGACCTTTTTGCACGCAGTGATTTCAAATGCAGTGTGCGCATGCAAACAGGAACTGGTCAAATGACAGCGACACGGTGCCGCTGCGATCAGAGTCAAAGGCCTGCAATTTTTGGGTGGGAGGAGTTGGTTGGGGCGGGTTTCAAAGCATGCAAAAGGTGACAGGGAGGCACCTGGCGTGTCATGGACATAGGGTGCCGTTCACACGCCACGCTTTACGGTCCGCATCTTGCGCCCAACAGACGCGCCCCTCCCCCTCTTCTTGCATCACACGCAGCTCCAGAGCCGGATACGATCCATCCCTCCAGGCCCCCCTCCACCAGTGCACCCAACCCTGCGCCGGCCTCCAAGGCGGCATTGCCCGCTGCAATCGCCCCCGTTTCCCCCTCTCCTCTCACTTCCTCTCTTCTCACGTTGAACGTGGCGGTCGAGCTGCGCAGGAAAAGAGTGAGCGCCAGGAACTCCGTCAGGCCCAGGGCGCCGCTGCGGGTGGGGTCAAAGCGCGAAAACACCGCCTGCAGCGCCGTCTGGTCAAGCTGGTAGCCTGGCAGTTGCCAACACGCGCGTTGGGAGTTTGAGGGGCAGGGAGTGTGTGCTCAATGTGAAGAATAGAAATGCAGCGGTGGGGAGTGTGCGAGTCGGCAGGGTAAAAGGTGCCAGTGTGGTGCCAGCGTGAGGGGTCGTATCGGCCGGCGGCGCACTTATGGAGGCTCAGTCGTACCAACACCTAAAAAGACGGGAGATACTCAGCAAGGGCGCCAGCGCAGCACCACTCGCTTCGCCCCGACCATTCAACACTCCAAGCGGCTAATGTGAGGAGACGGCCCCCCTCTCGCCCGTTGAGCTGCCAGCGAGCGCCCTGGTGTGAGCTCTCACCCGCATGGTTGAGCGCATCGCCAATCTCGTTCACGGTGAGGCTGTTGCTGTGGTCGCGGTCAAAGTAGTCAAATGACGCCTGCACGTTGGTCAGGAACTCGTGGAGCTGGTCCAGATTGCGGGCGTGTACGATAGGTCGATAAATTGGAATACAGTTCCAAATGGGCTGTTCAATACACTGGACACATTGAAAGACATGCACAGGGCGAACTGCCCAACTCGTTGGATCACCAAGTCATACAGAACAGCACCAGAGGCCTGCAGGCGCGCCGGTCTGTGTGACGTGGGCGCGATGATGCCAGCGGAAACAGCATGGCCATTGCGACCCCTGACCTTTGAAAACTCCTCGAACGAGATGGCACCCCTGTTGGCCTTGTCATGAATCCTGGGGAGCGGAGGGCGAGCGCGGGAATGATGTCGAGGGCGGCGATTGGCAGGTGACAAGGCCGCAGCTTGCGCCGTGGAATCCGGCATCACTGCTCAGCGTCAGCACAGGTGCTGCGGGTACGCAGCTGTGACGCAGCAGCCGTCAGCAAGACGGCCTCGCTTTTGCTGCTGCCCAACGCCTGCCAGCCCAGCAGCTGTTGCCGCGAGGGCGGGGCGGCAGCTCCGCATAGCGCGTCTTCGTGGCGCCCGTCCCGCCGCGCCCGTCCCGCCGCGCGTAGCGCGCCTGTCCCGCCGCGCTGCGCGCGATCCTGGCAGGTGGCCCACCGTATTATGTGGGCCACCGTGGCCAAACTGAAGTTGAGGCCGCCCAGTGACAGCGCCTGCTGCAGCTCCGGCGCCCCCAGCACGCCGTTCTTATCAGTGTCTGCCGGCGTTTGCGGCGCCGTGGTGTTGGCAATGATGCAGGCCGGGGTTTGCTTGCGTGAGATCGAACGTTAGCGAACAGCTGGCAGGCAGGATGGTCGGCACACTCCCGGGCCGTGGCGTCTCCCGCGCAGCGGCTGCGCGAGGCGTCACTGGTGCCGTCCAGCCGCCACACAGCCGCCCTTTCCTGCAAGCAGCGGCTGCAAGCGGAGCCCACCTATAGCAAGGAACCACTGTAGTGAATGCCCCGGAGATCCAGGTATGCGCGGCCGATCAGGGCGGTCAGGATGCGGCGATCGTCAGCCGGACCGGCCTGCACGTGGCAGCTGCCCGCTGCCTTCCACGCGCCAGCTCGACCCCTTGTGTGAGCTTGCGCGCCAGCTGTTCCAGTCTGCACCCCTATGACATGCATGCAGGCCAACTCACAAGCATCTAGTATCCTTAACCTGCCTGCCGTAGCTGCTCCCGGCTTGGTCGCGTCCCCACAAGCGGCGGCATGTGGGCCAGTGTGCTGCACTGGACGGCACTTGCCGTAAGAACTGGGCGCTGTGCACAGATCCAAGCGAGTAAAGATACTGGCCAAGTAGCTTTTGCAATGTTTTGAACGAATTGCGACGCTCGGCAGTGCGCAGAACGCTGCAGGAGCTGCACAAGCTCGAGGGACGTGATCACAGCTTGACAGCAGCTGACGTTTGAATGTGACAATTAAAATTGCTTTTGTTTGCGGCTGCGCTCGGATTCTCGGTGGCTCATCGTGCCGGCCACCCGGTTTCCGAGCAGCTCGCACAGGCAGCTTCGCCTGTCAGCGTACAAGGTCAAGTCACCAAAGCTGCTGCCAGGCACTGATCATGTCGTATGGTTGAGCATTTGACATGCACAGCAGAGATAGCCATCCAAGTAAGGTGGTTGCTGATGATGTTGACAAGTGCTTGACCAGCAGGCCGCCCATTGCCCTTCTGCGGCACTTGTGCGATTGACCGGTGGAGGACCAAAGGTCGATTCTGGGCTGGCAGCTGTGCCACTGCATGGGAGGGTGAGGTGCAGCGCCTTCGCTCATGCGCATCGCGCAGGGCGGCGGGATCAACAACAGCCTCGGCAACCAGGCCTCGTCGTCGCAAGTGCAGCAGGGCATGCCCAGGGGGGGCGAACCCCCTGCGCAGGGGGTTCGCCCCCACGAGGCTCTGTGGACACCAGCATGAATGGCCCTGCACTGATGGCCAGGCACTCACAATGCATGCTGGCATGCAGATGATGCTGCAGGTTGCCCCCCATCATGGGGGCACCCTTCATGATGAACGGTCTGATATCCATGCAACGAGGTGGCCGAGCCGTGCTGCAGCTTGCATGCCTGCACATCAAAACCCTTGACAGTACCGTCCACATCTGCGCTTGATGACTGCGTGTTCAGAGGGTTCATCTTCTCACTCTGTGAAAGCCAGAGCCACCTCTAAGAGCGGTCCAACCGCTTCGGGAAGTTCCTGTCCCGCTGCTGGCTGAGGTGCCATGCTCGATACCCACGGAGGCAACATCCTGGCTTACACGATGTTCTGCGAATTGCTCAACAGCCACTTAATTGTTAGTCCACCCAGGCTTGGGTGACAGCGTTTGTTGACCCAGGAAACAAAGCGACGCTCGTGCTTTGGATGATTGGAGGATGCTGCAGACATTGTGGGCTTTGATGCGGAACGTCAAAGCGAGATGAACGACAACCCCTCCTGCAGGGCCCTGACGGAGTCAGGCGCGCGAATCAAATCAGGAGCAAGTTTGAAAAGGTGGTTGAACAGGTGGAGATGAAAGACGACGCAACCACCCCAACTGTTTGGCACGGCAAATGCACAGTAAGAGCATGCAAGGTTTGATTTGTTGGCGCAGAATGAGTCAAACTGGCAACACATTGAGGGAATCCATTCGCGCTCAAGCCGCCGCCTGCTTGCCGCCTGCCGCCGCCGTCTGCTGCCCCTCTGTCTGCTGCTGCTGCCGCTGCTGCTGCTGCCGCCGCTCCTGGACCTCTTCGTCGTCCTCTATCACCCCTCCTTGCCTGGCCACGAGCGCGATGCCGGCGGTCACCAGCCACAGCGCAGCGCCGCCGAGCTGCAGCGGCAGGGAGCCCGTGCGGAAGAGAGTCCAGCCGCTCCAGGCCATGGCGCCCAGGACGGCAGCCAGGACTGCCAGTCCAGCCGGCGTGGTGCGCTCAAGTCCGACCCGGTCCATTGCTGAGCGGGTGAGGATGTTGGGGTGCACTCAGAGCGGGAAGGTCAATCTTTGACAGAAATTGTGGGTATTGTGTATCTTACAGGAGGTTGGTGAAGGGAAAAGTGGAGGTCAGTACTCGGAGGAGAAGGGAGGAATGGGGCAGAGGTCAAGCACTGAGGCTCAAGCACGGAGCTGTGGCGAATGCAAGAGCACCTCAGCGCCCGTCTGCAAAACGAGGGACCCCGGCTGAAGGCACGCTCAAGCCGGGGACACATGCTGATGCTGCTACCGCGCGAGCGCACGGGCGTGAGCGCGCGCGGCGCACCAGCTGCGTCCGCCGCTGCGCTGCGCTCGAACACGAAGAGGGACCCTCTGCTGCCCTTGCCCAGCCGCACGCGGTCGTCCAGGAAGGTGGTGGCCAGCTGCACACTAGAGGGCGGGCCTGGGGCCAGGGGCGGGGGCGGGGGCGAGGGGTTGGCCAGTGGGGTTGGTGAGAAAGAGCGATGAAGTAGTAGGGGTCGCGTACAGGAGGGAGGAATCGGCCTGCCCACAGCACGCAATACGCAAGAAAGCCGCCGGGACTGGTGGCGATCACAAACAACGCGCACAGAAGTTGGTGACGAGGGCTGTTGGGCTGGTTGTTGTCAATCAGGGCTTCCGCCGGCTGCCCCCACCCCATATGCAGGACAAGAACTAAATCGGTGCACCATGCCGTGGGGCCGGCGAGACCATTGGCCGCACAAAGCCCACCCCACCACACACTCTTTCCCCCGTCCTGCCCTCCCGCCGGCGCGACCACCCCGTATCACCCCACGTCCCGTGCAGCTGGCCGCCACAGCAGCGTGCACCCACCGATTCGAAGGGTCAGCGCGCCGCCAAACGAGAGCACAGGTGGCTCGAAAAACACCTTAACAGTGTCGCCGCCGTCACCCACGGGCTCTACGCGGCCGCGCAGGCCCACGTAACCGGGCAGCAGGCCAAACAGGCGGAAGGCGACCTGTCAGCAGGGCGGCACGGGGCCAGCGTGACGCGATTGTGGTCAACAATGTCGAGGCCAACGGAGGCAGGGCGGAAAGCAGAGTGCATGGGTAAAAGCAGGAGGGGGTGGGGTCCATGGAGGCGTGGCCGGGCAGGTGACCTCGTTGGCAAGCAGAGTGCCCTGAACAGCCACCAGCGTGCTCGACAGACCCAGGGTTTGCTGTAGCAATACATTGCAGCGTCCGATTCGTGCTCCGCCAACTACCTTGTTGGTTGCAATGTCGGGCTGCAGCACAGACTGGAAGACGCCTGCGGGCCAAAGCGGAGCAGGAGCGAGCTAGGCGCACTGCAGCAAGTGTTGGGAGTGCCGCACGGGCCGCGGCGGCTGCAGAGCGTGCCTCCAGGTTTGTACAGCCTCGCTCCTGCCGGCTTGGTAAGGTCCCGCCGCCCGCGCGCGCATGTATGTGCACACCCGTTGTCTGGAAGAGGGCGCGCCCGATCCGCCCCCGGAACCGCCCGCCCGCCGGCTGGCCGCGCTGCTGCGCCTCTGTTGAGCGCGCGACGCTGGTGTAGCGGACCTCGTAATTGCCCCTGGTGCGGTTGCAATTGAGCGAACCAAGAACTTTCGTAATTGGTCGGCCTCCTCGTTCCAGCAAGCAGCACAAGTGTCGCGATCGCCTTCTGCACACGAGCTGCTTCGGCCGGAGCCAGCCTGCGCGCTGACTCCTCTACCGCCCCACACATGCGCGTCTGCTGCCTCTCCTGTCATCGGCACGTCTGCCGAAGCCCCTGCCTGCCCGGCCGCCGCGCCGCGGGCCCCTCACCAGAGCAGCGGGTTGTCCAGCGGCCGCGGCTGCTGCTGCGTCCCGACCGCTTCCAGGGCGTCCAGGGCCGAGTCGACGCGGGACCGCACCTCCTTGGTCATGGTCAGGCCGCCATCTTATGGGAGTGGGGTGTGTGAGGGGTTGAGGGGGATGCGGTGGAGGGTTGGGATGTGGGGAGGGAGGGGAAAGGGTTCCGGAGGTTTGCGTGTTGAGAGGAGTTGTTGCACACCTTTTCAACGCAGGTTTGACTGCTGGTTTTGCGCCCAGGCACATTTGGTGTGACCACACACCTGAGTCGCGGACGTCGTCCAACACGCGCTGCACCAGTGCAGCGGTGCAATCAGCATGCGCAGCAGTAGTGCCTGGCGCGGGCGTGCCGCTCGTGGCAGGCTCTGCATCCGTTGCACTGGACAGACGCAACGCCACGAGCCTTCTGCGGGGCGACGCGCCATGCAGCAGCGAGCCTCGCTCTCTGACATGCACGGTGGCACCGGGGTGGGAACATCTCGACAACATGTTTCGGATCTGATGACAAAGAAAACGGGCAGGCGAAACAGCGCGCGCGAACTTTTGAAGAATTGCAGTGAATATAACTCCCAGCGCTTTGTAGACCAGGATTTCGGGGGCCGCCCGTCTGCAGGCCGCGGGGCGTGGCTGCCAGCTCCATGATTCGCCGCTTTCAAGTCTTATTGTGAATCAATATTATAGCCACCTAACACACAGACTGAGTGCAGCAGTTGTACTAGCTCCGCGCCCGGGGTAGACGCCGGGCCTGTGGCCGCTGTACTTGAACAAAAGGCGCTAATACAGACGCAAAAAGTAATCGCGACGGAGTAGGGGGTCGCCCCTTGGCGATGGTGAGCGTGTCCACGAATGAAGTAGATATGGAGGCCACCCTCCGCATCAGCTCGTGTCTACCCCCACAGTGCATTGTAAAGACCGCCTTACAAAGGCATCCTCACTTCTCATTACGCAGGCCAGGAGCGACGGATGGCCGGCGGCGCTGTCAGCGATGCGCCCGCTTCTCCTGCTCGTGCTGCTCTGTGGAGCGGCCGGCGCGGCCGCGGCAGCCAGCAGCACCGCGACCGCGAGCGCCAGCACGCAGACCGAGCTCTTGGTGCCCCCAGAGATGGTGCCGCTCCCAAAGGTGGCCGCCGCGGCCGCGCAGGCACGCAGCAGCGAGTCGCCGCTGCAGCAGCTGCTGGAAGAGGCGACCGGGGGCGATGGCGCGGCGCTCCACAGCGTCGGGATGACCCTTCAGGCCCTGAGCAACCTTCTGCTCTCCAAGAGTAGCGGGGCGCGTTTCGACGAGGACGCGGCGGCCGAGGCGACGGTGGCTGCGGCTGCGGAGGACGCCGAGCGCTCAGAAGAGACCGCGGCAGAGGAGGAGCCCGGAGATGCGTCGCAGGCCGCCGCGACAGCTGCGGCTGCATCTACCGCAGGGATGCAGGAGCCTGCAACCACGAGCCTTGCGGCGGGGACTGCTGTGAAGCTGGAGTCAGCGCAGATGCCCCTGCCCCAAGCGTCGTCGCTCCCCCTGGCGGCGGCGCACCCACGCGTTGCCTCCCCGGCGCCCTTTGCGTATCAGCCCACCAGCGTCACCCCCGAGACAATCGCCGCGCTCATCTCCCTCGCCGGCCCCGCGCCGCCGCCGCCGCTCCCCGCGGCCGCGGCCGTGGGGCCCGCGACGCCGGCGGCGCCTGCCTCCCCCCAATCCGACGTACTGCGCTGGTTCCTGCAGAGCGTCCGGATTTCGGGGGACACGCTCTTCAAGCTGCGCATGGACGCCGCCGTCGAGCGGCTGCTGCACGACTCCATCAAGGCGAGCATATCCGACGAGTCCGACGTCAGCCCGGATCATGTTGAGGTCATCGCCGCGGCCAACGTGACGCTCCCGCTCGCCTTCCGCGGCGTCGACTGGCGGGGCGCGGGGGCGGCGGCCGCGCTGAGGGCGGCGATGGCGCGGCTGGCGGGGGGGTTTTCGGAGCAGCACATACACGTGTCGCTGGTCGGCGCGGCTGGCGCAGGGGCGGCCGCGGGCGCCGCCGCGGCCCAGCAGCAGCAGCAGCAGCCGGCGGCACAGCCGCTCGCGCGCCGCTTGCTGCAGCAGCAGCCCGCAGACGCAGCGGCCGCAGCCGCGGCGGCCGCAGCGAAGGCAGAGGCGGCGGTCCGCGAGCTCGCCGCCGCGCCGGTCCCGGCCCTGGCCATGTCGCAGGCGCACTCGCCGGCCCCCGAGCAGTGGGTCACCGTCACGTTTGCGGACATGAGCATTTCAAACGCCACGTTCTTACTTGACGCCCTCGGCGCCAAGTGCGGCGCCAATGGGTCCCTCTCCGCCCACAAGCCGGTGCAGTGCGCCCCCGCGCTGCAGCAGGGCCTGTCCGCCGCCGGCGCCGTGCCCGACGCGGCCGCGTATGGCGTGCGCCTGCGCGACAAGCCGGCCTCGACGATCACCCTGACGCTCGGGCTGGGGATGACGGCGGATGACATCAGCGGCGGCGCAGAGGCCAAGGCGACGTCCTGGCTGGCGCGGGGCGAGCTGGCCTCGTTTTTTAAACGGCTGAACCTGACGGCAACGCCCCTGCAGGGGCTTGCGGGGCTGCTGCCGGCGCTGGGGAACCTGACCGTCGGCAGCAGCGGCGGCGGCGGCATCACCGTCACGATCGACGCGCCATCCGCGCCCCCGCCCGGCTGGGCGGCGCCGCCGGCGCCGCCGGGCGCAGGCGGCGCCGCGACCGCGGCCAAGGCGGGGTACGTGGCCGGGATATCTGTGGCGTGCGGCATAGGGCTGGCGGCGCTTGCGGGCGTTGGCTACGTCCTGGTGGCGCGACACCGCGATCGGCGACGCGCGGAGGGCGACAAAGCGGGGGAGGTCGTCGGTGGCGACGGCGGCGGCGGTAGTGGCGGCAGCGCCGGCGGCCGCGGCACGTCCACGGGCGGCTTGGGCGGGCGGCGGCAGCGGCGGCAGCAGCGGCAGCAGCGGCCGCGGGTGTACAACCAGCAGAAAGACCTCACCGCGCAGCTGACGCAGGCGCGGGTGCTGCAGGCGCGCGCGCGGCAGCAGGAGGCCGAGGAGGAGCAGCGGCAGGAGGCGGCGGCGGCGCGTGGCGGCCCGCGGCAGATCCAGCAGTCCCAGCCGCGCCAGCAGCCGCGGGGCGCGCAGGTTGTCAGTCATGGGGATGGGGCAGCAGCTGGGGTGGCGGCCGGTGGCGCAGGCCACTCGCGGCGCCGCAGCAGCGGCGGCGGCAGCAGCAGCACGCACCATTTGGAGCGGGGCGACAGTGTGATGTCCGCGGCGAGGTTTGAATTGGACGAGGAGGCGGCAAACGCAGATGGCAGCAACGCCAGCAGCACCAGCAATCCAAGCAGCGGCAGCAGCGGCTGCAGCGCCAACCCCCGCTCTGCCCCCGCCAGCTCCCGGCGGCACCCGCCTGCGGCAGCGGGAGGTGCCGGCGCCGGCGCCGGCGCACCCAGGACGCGGTCGCTGCCGCTGAGCGCGCCGCCGTCCGGCGTAGAGGAGGCCGCGTTGGTCACGCGTAGAGGCGCGCCGCGCGCGCCGGCTCTGGAGGCAGGGCCCTCTGGCAGCATGCAGCTTGCGAGCGGGCGGCAGAGTAGCAGCAGCGGGGGCGACGCGCCTGGGCGCAGGCCCTGGCCGAACAGCAGCCTGGACAGCGGGACCTCAGGCAGTGAGCAGCCGCGGAAGCCGGCGGCCGCGCGCTCCGGGCCGTCTTCGCCGACAGGCTCGGCGCCGTCGACGCCTTGTGCCGACATCACCATACGCGCGTCGCTGACGGGCGGGCTGTGCGACAAACCGTTCTTGCGGCCAGTCTGGGGCCGGGGAGGCGTGGACGAGGTCGAGGAGGAGCCGCCGGCATGGGATGTGTCGGAGCCGCTGCCCGCGCGGCCGGTCACTGGGCGGCTGCCAACGCCGTTCGCAGCCTGCGGCCCCTCCTTTTCGGACGGCGAGTGAGGCCAGGCGGCGCACTGTATGACACATCGACTGGCTGCGGGAAGTTTATGGAAGAACAGCCGTGCAGCAGCACACCGCGGCGCACACACAGGCGCGCGCGCACACACTCAGCAAAGAAACCAAAGCCCATCTGACACACCCATTAAACCACATTTTGATATTGTCAATCATTGGCCGTGCGCCCCGTCCTGCTCCGCTTGGCGCCGCTCTGGTGGCGTCGCCCGGAACCATTCCCCCGACGCTTGATTGGCGTGCAACCTGACAAGCGCGCTGCTCACATGGCCGGAAAGTGGGTGCCATGCTGATCATGTGTCCCTGTGTGCTGATTGTCGGTTTGTGCTAGCCAATGTGCAGGCTCCCCCCTTTGCTGCTACCATGCGGTACCTTAAACTTGAATGCAATTGGACTTCAGGTGTTGCAGGTTCAACAGCAAGCTGCACCCCCTTGCGTTCTGCTGATCTCTTGTCAGCGCTCATACCCCAACCCAACAACGGCGTTGGTGCCAAACGCTGTACAACAACCTGCAGCACACGCGAATGTAAGATTGCACACCCATTAACCGAGGGCCGAGCTTCAGGGGTTGAGCAGGTGGCCAGGGCTAGGTGGCTGTTTTAGTGTGCAGCCATGCCTTGGAATGAAGTGAGGGGAATAGCAGCAGCATACAGCTCCAACATGGCATAACACAAATTGCACTTAATCTCCACCACTTAAGATGTCTCCGTGCTTGTTTGACACAAGGGTTCACTCTGATTTGCGCTGCTTGCAATTTGCCCCATCACCTGCGTCCTCTCCTTGTGACCCTGTCCCACTGTGCCCCACTTGCGTCTTTCGTCATGCATCATTCAAATCGCAAGCTCCTGATGCTGCAATGTCGTCTGCGCATCATCACAAGTGCTTCGGCCTGCATCATGTCCATTGCTTCGGTTGACATGTCAGCCGCCTGCTCAGCACCTGCAACATCCCAGCAGAAGCTGCACTACCAGCTCCCACGACCGTGCCGATACAGCGCCGTAAGTCACCTCTTGGACTGATGACAGATTTCGTTGCTTTTCAACACTATAAACAGTTTGACCATCTCGTCAAACGCCTTTCTCTATGGAGACTGCACCCCCTGACGGTGCTGTTGGCGAACAGCAAGGTGACATCGCGGCATTACAAACGTTTGTTTAACGTGTTTATGAATGCATCTAATCCACTCCGCAAGGCACTGATAAACAAAATTGTTGCACTGCGCCTGTGAAACCACTCATCGCGCAGAGCCTGATACAATGGTAGATACAGGAACACATGCATCAGAAATTATAGAGATTGACGCACCAGGCCACGCGGACACGTCGGATGAATCGTCAATGACCGCACTTGGCGCCGCTGCGCCCGTCGCAGTGGCGCAGCAACATGAGCAGCAGCAGCAGCAGCTGGGCAGTGGGAAGGAATATAGGCCTGGCTTATTGGCTAAAGCTCCACTACTTGGAGATGAGGTCCAGGACGACGCGCTTGGTGCAGCTGCGGCGCATAAAATGGTCCATCCCACTCATCCAGCCGAGCAGGAGGGAGGTGTGCTGCTGGAATCAGCCAGCATGGATGGGGTGGTGACAGGGGCGAGCAGCAGGCCCGACGAACTGCAGCAAAGCCAGCAGCAACCACAGCAGCAGCAGCAGCAGCAGCAGCAGCAGCAGCAGCAGCAGCAGCAGCAGGCCCCTGTCGAGAGCCATCCCACCTTGTCAAGGCAGGGGAGCTCCACGCCAGTCCGCTCGCCCGCGGCTGGAGCAAGCAGCAGCGCGCCCAGGGCTGATGACGTAGGCGCAGGCCTGGCGGACGCGCAGCTGGCGATGCAGCGGCCAACTGCGCCGGAGCCCAGCCTTTACTTTGCTGCCGGCTTGAGGGTGAGCAGTGTCGGAACGCCTGGTTCGCATGGTTGCTTCAGCTGTCGAGGGGTTTTCGACCAGTACACGCAGCGCCATCCAACCCGCAAGGTCTGGGATTGCAGCTCGCTGCATCCCACTTCATGTTGTAAGCAGCTTCACGGCGTGCCACATCAACCGCATGTTCCCAACCCTGCGCCTGCATGTGGCGGCCCCAAATTCCTCACAAGGCGATCGACGTGGAAGTGGACTGCGGCCCGGGCGTCCCCTGCCGCCTGCTGCGGGTCGACATTGACGTGTCCGAGGTTGCACGCAAGCAGTTCCTCGGCGGCTTCAAGCACCGCGTGACGGGTTCGACCTACCACCACGCGGTAACGCAGACGCCCCCATCCGCGCCGCGCCCCCGGCCGCCGCCGCGCGCCTGCCGCGACACCCAGACGGTGCACCAGGCGGCGCGCGGCGCGCAGACGCTGCGGGAGGCGGCGACGCAGATGCCGCGGCCGGGGGTGGTGCTGGACGTTTCCGAGGACCGGCTAGTCACCCCCAGGACCTACGTCACCGCCCGCGAAGTTCAAGCCGTGCGGCAGGCCGCCGCGCTGACCGTGCAGCGCTTTGCACGTGGCTGGGCGGCGCGGCGGCGTGCGGGGCAGCTGCGGGGGCACAAGGAGGAGCGGGAGGCGTTCCTACGAGAGCGCGAGGGGCGGCGCATCGCGGACGCTGAGGATGCGCGCAGGTGCAGCCCGCATTGCCGCGCAGTGTTTCTTTCGCCGTTGCGCTCCAGCCATTTTTCAGTGGCCATTGTGGCTCCTGGGTTCCAGGCGGACCCTATCGACAAAGGTCCGTGAATTGCTGCAGAGCTCAGACCTGTCAAACAGCCCATCATAAGCCCTGGCTCCTGGCTTGGCCGGCCAGCCACGCGCGCCTCACAACGCTCCACTCGCTGCTCGCCCACAAAACCCCAGGCGCCAGGTGCAGCGGCGCATGCACCCTGCAAAGCGCACCGACTTTCAGGTCCTGGAGACTGAGCTGGACGCGTGGCGGCGCCAGGAGACCGCGCGCATCAAGGCCGCAGGGCTCGGCCCCGATAAGGAGCAGGTCGGCCTCGCAGAGGGAGCTTTGCTTTGGTCAAAGCAAGTTTTGTTGAGCGGCCCATCACACGTGGCCTTGCAGATCCTAATTGATCCCAAGTCGAAACTTGGGCTATATTTATATCCAGGAGTTGACCTGCAGAGCCACAAACACGCAACATGCTGCCAGCAGGTCCATGGCGCTTGTATGGCAAGCGCATTGCCGGTAAATGCCGCCCTAGCCGGACCGACAGCGGCCTTGCTTTGTCCCATCCCTGGCTGCTGACAGCGGCCGCCCGCGTCGCAACGCTCACAGGACGCCCTGCGGCTGCTGCTCGCCAAGGAGACGCGGCTGCTGCAGACGATCGACCGCCTGCGCGTTAACGCCAAGTACGAGGCGCGCGACGCGGCGGCGCACCGTACGCTGAGCGCGATGGCGGCCCCGAAAACATGGGAGCTTAAGAACGGCGCCAAGGTGGGCGCATTGCTGGTGGTTCCCGTGGAACATCTGCATAAACGGTGCGCAAGCCTGGCTGGCTGCCGCAGGAGCACCTTGTGTTTGTCATTTGGGACCTGCAATTTTTGTCACCTCCGCTATCGCTACCGCAGCCGCTGCGGCAGCAGTGGCTCCCGCACCCTCAAGACAGAGGCTGTCCCGAGGCTGAAGACCACCATGAATCATGCCCTGGAATGCGCACCAACACATCGCAGGTCTTGGTGCACACACCCACGACCGCGCGTGCGCGTGAGCTCCAGCAGCTGCACCGCGGCCTGGCTCTGACCGACCTCAGCGTGGACGAGCGCCTGGACCTGCTGCTGCACGTCAAGTGGACCGCCAAAGAGTTTGACTGCCGTTTGACCAGGGAGATCGTGCAGCTCATTGACAGGGAGGCAGACCTGCTCAACAGGTGGGGGTATTGTTTGTGACCGTCGGTTGGGCGGTTGGTTTGAGGACGAGGATTTAAGGGCCTGCGTGCGATGCGAGCACGGCCTCTGCTGGTGGCATGCTCCCCCGTAGAGAAGGGGAATTGAAGGAGGCGGGGTTTGGAGACGGTGGGCCGGAGGAGCTGGGTTCGTAACAGAGGTTCTGCAGCAGCTTATAGGGCATGTGCCACGTACAGCAACGACCCACCACAAAAATCCAGCGAAGTCGCTCAGACGCCAACCCTGGATTGCTGCCTGCGACGAGCGCGCAGGGGCCGCAGCCCAGCAGCGATGGAGGGGCTGCGCTGCCGCCTGTCCGGCCTCTTCCTGGAGTTTTGCGAAGATCCTTGCTTCAACCCGGAGGCCTTGTCACTGTCTGCGTGCAGCAAGCAGAGGGGAGGGGGCGGCGGCGGTGGCAGCAGCAGCAGCGGCCCGGGCGCCGAAAAGGCGGCGGCCGCAGCGGCAGAGGTTTTCATATATGCAGAGGCGGGGCGCGCCGCGGCGCGCGCGCCACCAGTTGTGCCCGGTGGAGGGTTAGTGAAGGCATGTTGATCGAGCCGCCGGGCCGCCGGGTACAGTGGCCGCAGCAAAACACGCATCTTCTTGGGGTGCTGGGGGCAAAGATGACGTGGCCTGGCAAATGATGTGCGCGCATTGTGGGTCCTGACTGACTGGGAACACCTGTGTCTCCACAAGTGCTGCTGTGTCGTGCCGTATCGTGCTGTGTCGTGCTGTGTCGTGCTGTGTCGTGCTGTGTCGTGCTGTGTCGTGCCGTATCGTGCTGTGTCGTGCTGTGCCGTGCTGTGTCGTGCTGTGTCGTGCTGTGTCGCGCTGTGTCGTGCTGTGTCGTGGTGCATGTGCTGCCTCCAGCTTGACAGGGGTGAGGAAGCATGCGAGCGGGTTACACACATGAACGTGATGCTCACATGGGAGCGGTGCAGCCGCCGCTCAGGCGGCAGGGTTGTTACAGTGCAGGCGTAAGCGCCGGCAGCAGCGGGATTGTCTGGCAAATGGGTGTGCACAGGGACGCTCTTTTGGGTTTCTGGTGCACGAGCTGTTTGCTCAGCAGGGTTCAAAATTGGCAGGAGCCAACACAGGGTGCAAAACATTTGCAAGGAAGCTACGGGAACATCCACACCCTGCTTGTAAAAAAACCTGTCAGTGCAATCAACTGCTCTTGCCCTTGCCGTCCCCGCCTGAGCTCTTGCCCTCGCTCCTGCCGCTCTTTCCCCCGATCTTCAAGCCCTTGCTCTTGCCGCCGCCGCTGGTGCCCTGCTCCTTCGCGCGCGCCCGCTCGCTGCCGCCGCCGCCGCCTTCCCGCATGCCGCTGCCGCCGCTGCTCTTGGCCCTGCCGCCCCCGCCCTTGCCGTCCCGCCGGCGGTCCAGATCGATCACGTCCATCGCCGCGCGCTTCTTGGCCGCGTAGACGCGCGTGATGCCCTTGAGCACCGCCTCCTCCGGCATCTCAAAGGGCGCCAGCTGCTGCCCCACCAGGCCCTCTATGGCGTGTACGAGCTCCACGTCATACTGGGGTGGTGGTTGGTTTGGATGGGGAAGGAACCAAGGCTATTGTCGTGTAGACATGGTCAAAAGCCACATCTAAAAAATGATGAGAGAACGTATGAGTACCGTTGGGAGATGAACAATTGGCCGCGGCACGATTGGGGCAGGGATTTTGCCTGTAAATGAGACGAAACCCTGGGTGCGGCCATCTATTGCCAGCCCTCGCGCTATCACGATCCCCGCCCTCTGCCAACGAGCCGCCCGTGTTAGTCACCGGACCCACCCACCACACAGCCATGCACGCGCCCGTGCGTCCTCTGCACAGCCCCAAACCGCCGCCTCACCTGCGTCACGAACGACAGGGACCAACCGGCGCGCCCAGCGCGCGCGGTACGGCCGACCCTGTGCACATAGTCCCTCGCCGCCACCGGCAGGTCGTAGTTGATGACCAGATCCACGGTCGGTATGTCGAGGCCGCGGCTGGCGACGTCGGTCGCAAGCAGCAAGGGGACAGCCTCTGATTTGAAGGCGGCCAGGGCCGACAGTCTGTCGCGCTGGGACTTGCCTTGGGGTGGTGGTAGGGGAGTGCAGAGTGCAGGCGGCAGCGGCAAAGGATCAGGCGGGGCTTGCGGGGATTGCAGAGGGAGCATGCCCCGCGGTGCCTGCACCCATATGGTGCCTTGCACTCGCTGACCTGAAGCGGGTGCCGCCCCTCCATAAGCAAACCCCTCAAAACCCGGCACACAATGCAGGATGCGGGGACAGCACACGCAGCCCCCAGCACCGCATCCGCGCTGGGGATCCCCAGGGCGCAGACCCGCGCGCACCTGAGTGCAGCTCGGCGCAGGGCAGCCCCAGCTCCCTGAGCAGCAGCGCCAGCAGCTGGGCGCCGCGGCAGGTGCCAACAAACACGATGGCGCTGCGCACGCGGTGATCGCCCATGGCTTCCAGCAGGTGGTACAGGTAGACCTCCTTGACCTTGGCCGGCACAAACACATACTCCTGGGGCAGAGCAGGGCGGGGAGTGGGGGTGATTTGCAGGTGGGTGGACGGGTGGTAGATCGGAGATGGACAGGCTTGGCGAAGAGGGCAGCGCAAAGCATAGTCTGGGCAGAGGTGGTGGAACCAGCCAGGATACAAAAACCTGCCGCCGCAGCATTGGTAGGGGGAACGGGGCGCGTGCTCAAGCCGCAGCAAAGCCGGCGCCGCGCCTCTAGCCCCCTCGGGCGCTCATGCCCTGCAGCCCTCGGCGCACCTGCCGCAGCCTGTCCGCGGTCTGCAGCCCGGCGTAGGCCTGGAACACGTGGGCCCCCTGAAGCTTCTCGGCCTGCAGCTTCACCAGCGCCTGGGACGAGAAACAATGACGGGGCGCGTGCAGCAGAGGTCAGGTGCTGGCGAGCTCGGTGCAACCCCACAAACAACAAAAAACGCTGGGTGGCTGCAGACACAAACCAACAGGCGTCAAGGGGAGCTGGCCGGCCCTGTGCGACCGCACGCAAACACGCAGCCTTCTAGACGCCCTTGGCTCCCCCGACCTGCGTCATCGTGGCGCTGAACAGCAGCGTCTGGCGGTCGTCGCTCGGCAGCGCCGCCAGGATGCTCCGCAGCGGCTCTTCAAAGGTGGGGTCCAGCAGCCGGTCTGCCTCGTCCAGGACCAAAAATCTGGGGGATCCGTGGTTTTTTGGGGTAGTGAAGCGTTGTTGTTGGCTGGGCGGACCCGACGTGTGCTTACAGAAGGAGGCGCAGCTGGTGCATTCAGCCGCGGCTGGGCGCGCTGCACCGCCAGTGGGCGCTGGGTGCCCGGGCCCCGCGGCCTCGCCTGCCCTGTGAGTGCCGTTAGCTGCATGTGAGGCTGCCAGCAGCGCGTGAAAGGTGCGGATTTTGCTGCGAGTGGACCGTCCGGGGCTTAGAGAACAAACCCGCAATCCACCTGGCCTTGGCGAAGCCCCTGCGCAGCCCCGGGTCGGTGTCTATGAGCTCCGCCAGCCTGCCGGGGGTGGCGATGACGACGTGCGGCCGCCGCGCCAGCTGCTTCGCCTGCGTCTGCTGCTCCACGCCGCCGATGACCACGCACTCCTGCCGCGTGGTTGTGTCATGGAAATAGAGTTTTTGATTGCGCGAACCTCGAAGGCTGTGATAGCTTGACTGACTGTGAAAGCGCCCTCTGTAGCAGTCACCAGGCTGCAGCAGCTAGCAAGTGACACATGGTGGTCGCTCTCGAGCCGGGAGGGTGCGAGCCGGCGCACCCGCAGGCTCATGCCAGCGCCAAAGGCCCTGAACTGCTCCGCCAGCTGCACCGCCAGCTCCCTGCGCAGTGACCAGCGGGTGAGCGTGTTTTGGGTATCATCGCTGCGGAGGTGGTTTGCACCACTCACAACACTATTGCAGCGTTGGGTGTCCCTTGAAAAGATGGGCTGAAATTTTTCAAGCGCATGATGCGAAACTGCGGCCACAGTCGGTGGTATAGCGGCACGCATAGCAGCCCAGACAGCAGGGGGAGGCGGCGCCGGCGGCTCACCGTGTCGGCGTCAACACGAGTGCGAACACGCCGTAGGGGTCCCGTGACAGCCGCTGCAATATAGGCAGCGCGAACGCCGCAGTCTTCCCGCTGCCTGTCTGTGCCGTGCCAATCACATCGCGCCCGTCGAGCACCGCCGGAATGCAGCCGCGCTGCACGGGCGTCGGCCTTGTGATGCCGAGCGACTGCAGCACGCTGCACAGCCAGTCCGTGACTCCCAAGTCCTTGAACGTCAGGTCCGCATCTTCAGGGCTGCTGGCCGCCGGCCCGCTTGTGGAGGCCTCGCCAAGAGCCCGCTCGGGCATGACGTCCTCGAAAGGCGCCGCTGCAGGCTGAGCACCAGCACTGGGTTTGGAAATCTTCTTCAGGTTCCTTTCCGCACCCACTGCAGCCTTGCGCTTGCCCTTCTTGAACAGCACAATCTCATCCCCGTCCATGTCGTCGAGCTGGGCAGCAAGCTGCTTGTTAATTGAATGTTTCAGATGTGTTAAGCCCTTGGACCGCGCCATGCGGGCCCATGTGGCGGTGGTACAGAGCGACGGTCACAGGCGGCTCAGTGACTGCTTTTCACCACCATACTGCTGTGCTGCACATGCTGCGCTGGCACTTCCGCCTGACCACGACAAAGTTTGTCAAAGACGTTGTAGTCGACAAGCAGGAGTGCAAAAGGCTACATCTGCCTACCTCCTGTGCGCTTCAAGGTATGGTAAGGCCAAACAACGCTTTCGCCCAACAGCAATCAAGCAAGGGGTGCATGCTGAAGGGTACGCACAAATCAGGCATGACATGCCGAAGGGACACCAATGTGGCAATGCAAGACGGGGTTAGTCGCAATTAGTGATTTGTTTAGCATGATTCATGAAGCCACAGCGCAACAAATGACGAACAAGCTGCAATGTGAGGCGCATACTACAGCGCAAGGACGTCACAATATCAACAGAGCTCTAGCCAGGGTCTTGGCACACCAATGCACAGTATCCTTATCATATCACAAGCCCGTGCCACATTGTGGTCTATCGCCGCAGCAGTCTCAGCCCTGCAGCTTGCCCAGCCCCACGTGCCCAGCAGTCTGACGTTGTCACTGCGACACAGGCTGGGATAGTGTATTAGCCAAACACCACAGCAAGCGCAGCCTCCAGCTTCCTGGCAAGGCGATGGTCGCAAGTTCAGATGACAAGTGGCACGCGCGTTGCAGCATCGCCGCTCACCTGCCTCAATTGTTGTTGGCGGTCCCAGCCGACGGCTCACCGGTCCGAACCCCCGGCGCCATTGGTACGCGGCACAGGTTGCTATGTTGGCTGGCTGCCTTACTGCCCAGACCTGACCACTGCGATGGAGAATCACATGGCTCCGACCCCGGTGGCTGCACTGATCTATGGCCCCCAGCATACTTTCTAAGGCGCGTGCTCGAGGCGACGCCGGCCCCAACTCAATGCACCACTGCCGCCACCGACCCCACCCTCTCCAAGTACCCATCCCACACCCACCTAGCTCGCCGCCACGCAGGCGCCGCATACTCGGGGCCGGCCTCGTCCCGCAGTGTCCCTCAACCCTTCAAAGTGAAAGGCATCAACTCAACGTCAGAGCCCGTCCTGCAAGCAGCGACTGGCGTGGCCGTGGCGGCGCAGCGGCGCCAGCCTGCACGTGTAGAGCGCCCGATCCTTTGCGAGCTGAAGGTGGAATGTGTTGGGATATTGTGATGGGGATCAAGAAGATTCTGAAGTTGCCTGCCGACTCTGGGGAAGATGAGGTTTGGAACCGTGTCAATTAAAACCTGGCCAACACCATAGATCACAACCTCAGTGGTGGGGTGGAGCAAACTCCAAACGCACACACCTTGGAAAGAGGCCTCAACGCACTAGCAGCGTGCGAAAAGTCCTAGCATCGATGGCGTGCTGTGCACCATCCCACCAGCCGCCAGCGCAGGCTCAGATAAAGGCATGGCCACGGGGGACAAAACAGCAGGGCTCCACATTTCGCCGCGGCAGCCCTCTGGCTGATGCCAAAGTGGCCGTATGCCAACACCTCTGCTACGAGAGTGTGTGGTCAAATGCGGGCACAAGCACTGACAAACCAGCCCCCGCGCCAGCCGCCGCGCCCACCCTAGGTGCTGGGCGGCGGAGTGCGGCTTGCGGGCCAGGCCGACAGCCTCTTCAGAGGATCTGCAGCTTGGGGCCGCTCGACCCACTGAGTTTTCAAACCAAGTGAGCCGAGGTTTAAGAGATGTGCCGGAGGCCCGCTATTATAGCCTGCCCCGTCCAAGAAGGTAGGCTGCTGCTCAAGCAGCCTGGACAACTTGGTATCTGCACCCACGTGAGGATGCAGACAGGCGCCGCAATGGGCCGGTTCGGGCTGGCTGGGCTGGGGGAGAAGGCACAGCACAAGATTGCAGAGTGCGTTGGGCGGCTGCACCCTTGAGGGGTGCGCCGCAGCCAACGCATTGGGACCGCCAATCGAGAGCCGCAAATACCGCCGAGACGGAGGCTTGCGGGCAGCACCTTGCACTGCACTGCAGCACTGGGGGCCCTGCCGCACGGCAGGGCCTGCAGAGTTTAGAATGGCCGGAACGGGAAGGCGCGCAAGGGTTGAGGCACCCGATGGCTAATAAAAGTGCCTTGAAACACTTGAGCAGCACCCTTCATGGTCCAAGGCAAGGGCTGGCGTGATGTGCAGTGACATGATGTGGAGCAGCGGCTGGAGCGCTCGGCGGCGCACCTTCAGATATACCAGCCTTGGGGGTACTCCACACCCTAGTGAAGGCTCTCTAAGCGCATCTGGTGGGTGGGGCGCGATCGGGGCGGGTCAAACGGATCGGACCACGAACACGAAAACTTCTGAATGATCTTCGGCGCGGAAGTGCTGCCACCGGGGACGAGCTGGGCTGTGAAGGTCTTGAAAATTGTATGTTGAAACGTGTGGTACCGTATACATGGGTATCCGGGCAGCACCTGCTGCTCCCTGCAGGCGCAGTGCGGTAGTTTCCCCATGGAGCACAGCGGACGATCTAGGATTGGCACCCACATTTACTCCCATCGGTCCCAAGAAACCGGCGCGCATTGCGACATCGCTTATGCAGCGAGCGCACATGACTTGCGAGCTGCTTGCTTGGTAGCACGTCGAGTGAGCAGGCGAGCGTGCAATCGAGGCGGTTGCGCAGAAGGCACATCCCCGCCCTACCCGGTGGCATCACAGGCAGACAGCAGGTCTTGTATGCAGGTTAGCCTTCCACCAGATCAAGACCAGCCGCCCAAAGCGCCTGAAGCGGCAACAATCACGGCAGCGACACCCCAAGCGAGGGGAACGGTGCCGCGCTCCTGCTACCAGATGAACAAACACGCGGCCCTTCACAAAAATTCAAACCCAGTAAAAACAAGACTAGGGGAAAAGGCCCAACAGCCCGCAAAGCTCTTGTCAATGGGCGATCAAGCAGGCGCTTCTTGCAAACCCCTGGCCACCAAAAGACAGCCTAATCCTCAAGACGAGAGGTCCTGCAGCACGGTCTGCCAGGCCGCCAGAGGTATCTTGGCCGTGGGGTCTGGCAGCTCCTGGCGCGCCATCTCCAGCCACAGCAGAAGCTTCTTGATGGGCACCTCCTTGCCGCAGTACGTGCCCAGGGCGTCAACGGCCTGGCGCGGGCAGGTGGAGAGGTCGTGGGGGTTGGGACAACGGGTGGGCATGGGCAGAGCGGTGAGCTGATGGGGTTTATAGTGCTCGATTTGTGGCGTGTGTATGTGTGTGTTTGTACTTGTGATGTGCATGTGTGGCAGAGAGAGAGAGAGAGAGAAAGAGGGAGAGAGAGAGAGAGAGAGAGAGAGAGAGAGAGAGAGAGAGAGAGAGAGAGAG